TGTCTGAAGTCAGATTTACTGACTACTGATTTACTTCTCCAGAATCTTAAGGACAGATTCTTTCACCATACAGAATTATTCAGGATTCCGATATTTTGGGAGAGGGAAAATATATATAAATATCACTATTTATTTTCTTTACTGTGTGCATAATTTTATTTATAAACTTTCTTTATATATCTTTTTTTCTAAGCTAAAACAGTGTAATGGTTTTTCATATCTGCATTTACTTTGAAAAACTGCCAGAGCACTGATAAATGGGGTTCCATATTTCATCTGAAAGAACTGGATTTTTGAAATTTGGTTTATCAAAATCCGATATACATTTTGCTTTCGGTAATGACAATCAGCTTGGTCTAGTGTGCTGGGCTAGGAGCAAGGATACATGAATTCTAGTCCTGCCTTAGGCACAAAAGCCAGCTGGATAACTCAGGCCTTTATTCTCTCTTATCCCTAGGAAGAGGACAGTGTTGCCTAGATAACTGCTTGGACTTGTCCATGTGTTGCCAAGTCTGACCTGAAGCCCCACCCAACCTCCAATTCTAAATACTGGGAGCAAACAAATGCTTTCTGTCAATAATCTCACATAGCTTAAACCATATACTACTTACCAAGCTCATTGAGAGAAACATAAATTAAAACGATCACTGGCATATTGTATAATTAAGGCAGCTTCTTTGAACTTAAGATGTTGCAGAGGTCTAGGCAATACTTAGATGCATCTATGATCTGATTTCATACAAGTCATTCCTAAAGGCTTATGGATATTTGTTTGCTTTCCAGTTGAGGTCCTAGATATTTAGCAAATCTAACATTTATTGGATTTTCATTTGTACAGCAGAAAAGAGCTCCGTGCTCATGAGAGGGATCCAAGTCCAGGAACAGTTCCTGTACAAGAGGCTCAGGACTTGGTATCAGCAATTTTACTACAGTTATATGCACATACTGTATATCAGGAAGCAAATCCCATTGTATTTTATAGGGGTTACTTCTAAGAAAAGATGCTGAAGATCAGTCTCCTAAAGATACTTTCGAGCCTGAGGCAGAATTGAAACTCTATATGCCCAGATAGCAAGAAAAGTCCTTGGCTCAGAGCCAGTGTATATTTCTGCATTAGTATCATTTCCATTTATGTATATTTATTGTTATTTCATGGACATTTTCTACTAATGAACCATCACTTTCATTTCTGCGCTTAATAATCACACAATTACCTATCCTGCAAATATTTAGTAATAACATCCCTGACTATAAATTTGATACACTGCCTCTCTCTCCCTCTGTCTCTAAATTCTTTCATAATTCAGTTTTAATGAAAGTTTTCAGTATGCAAAAGGAACACCGAGTTTAGGCGAAGTAGATAAAGAAGCCACTTGTCAGGGAGTAAATATCCCTGTTCTCCATTCTCCTTAGTTAATGAGATTTAGTATATAATCTGAATAAGTAATCACCCTTTGGATTTGATTGATTATATATGCTGCAAAGGAGTTTAACAGAGTGTATGGTCCTGGGAATTATAGAAAACTATATGAAAACTATTAAAAATACATATGTTTCCCAAAAGGGGGGGCTTTTTCACATGCATATCATAGTGTAAGGCTATAAAAGTTGGGGAGAGGAAATTGCAAGTGTTGGTGGTGTAACAGCAGCACGAATTCACACATTTGACAAAAAGAAACAGTTGTCAATTCATAATATTATTGTGTGGACATAATAGGTATCTAGATATAGTGTAGTATATGAAAGTCAGTGACTGCAGTAGATTTAAATGCTTTTTAATAAAGTGCATGACTAGAAATATTTTCCATGGATTAAATTTCAGATATTGCCTTGAGATGGTAGACTGGAATTCTAGCTTTTTTTCAATTTTACTTAAACTCACAAGCTCTCACTAAAATATAACCTCAAAATATGTAGTCTAATAAAATAATTTCTTAGTACTGGAACACTGGAAATATTAGCAATTAAAAAAAAATGTCCTAGGAGGAAAAGATTTCTCTTTAACAGCTAACCTTAACAAAACAACAGAGCTTTAAGCTCCATGCATTTCAAACCAGCAAGCACTGCTTTGTCTTCCATCAGAAGTTAGCATGTAGAAAAGAGTGATTTCTGTAATAAACTTTTTATATCTTTTTATATCTTTTTTCAAATCATAACCATTTACATCAGTCCAATAAGCTTCTCCCATTCTTTTTTTTAAGTCAAGTATATTTTTAAGTGCCAGAATATAAAAGATGAAGTGATCAAGATGTCGGCTTTTTAGAACAAAAATTATCTAGTTAAATTTCTACTTCCAAGTTGTTTCACACAGAATTTTTATCATTAATTGATAAATAAAATCGTTGAATACCTTTATTACATTTGTTTGACATCAATTTTGAATTCTTTATCTCTTTTTTACCCCTTACATCTTTCATTTGACATCAGCTACTCCAACATTTTTATACATAATTTAGCATCTTTTCCCATTAACATCAGTTCCATTATTTGTTTAAATAAGAACCAAACCAAGTCTGCTCGTTAATTTTTCAGACATTAGTTTCACAGAAATTACTTTTTTGTCATAGTGATTATTTTCATTTACACGCATTTCCAGATAGTTAATTATTTATGATTATTTCTTATTAAACTGTTTCAGCTGTTCTTGACTTAACATTTGTAATAAACAACTAATACTGTTTTTAGGGATGGAGATTAGTAATTTCTTAACCACAGCTCTAGCAAATCCAATCAGCTATGCTTTTAGAATTCACAGTTCTTCACATAATGATTTGGAATATGGAGATAAATTGTTTTTTCTCTTTTTCTGATGTAGATAGGTAGTGATTTGAAAAAAAAAATGAACATTTAAGAAAATTATTTCAATACTTCTGGCTTTGCTTGTTTACAGATTTAGAGATATTGAACAAAATGTCAAGGAGGATGTTAATGTAGTTCTATTTTTTTTAAAAAATGAAATAATTCCAGGGAAATTAGTCATTTAATTAACTGTGTCATTCTTGTGAACAGTCCCACAGTTGGAATTATGTCTGCAGCCATATGAAAGTCCAAGCAAAGCACTCCTTTAAAGTGCCTCTGTAAAGTGCCACAGCTCCCTATTTTAGACCAGCTGAGCAGCCATGATGCTTCGCTTCTTGTGGCAAAAGGGGCTACAATGCAGCACATGCATGGAAGCAAAGCTATTTCTATGGAATAAGAAGACTAAGTCAGATCAATCTTGACACTTTGCAGAGGTAGAATAATGCCATACTCTTGGTGAGGCAAAATGCCTTATGTAAAAACAACTACAATCTGCACAGGCCTGGCTTAAATTAGAGAACCAGCCTGTAGTGTCACCTGTATTTTCAAGAAATACATGGAAATTTTAGGTATTCCTGAGAATAAAAACAGTGAGTGAATGAAGTCCCAGGATAGTTATGAAATGTGCCAATTGCCTCTCCCCACAAAGGAAACAGTATGCTGAGGTAACAAGGAGCATTGACTAGTCAGGAGAGTCAATCTCACTAGTTTGACTTCTTATAAATGTCTAATAAATGGGGTAGTCCATGTATCCATGGCAGCCATTTTGTAAGAATGCCCATGACATGCTTTCAACAGTTCAGGTACGCTCCCTCCCTCAAAAAGGTTGCTTACCTTTGCTCCTGAAGGTCCTGGAAAATGTTTTGCCGATGCCCCTGAGATGACAACAATTCCATTTAAGCACATTCTCTTATATTACATTATTAATAGCAAAAAGGAAGCATGAGTCATCAAATGATCGACACTTAAGAAATATGAAGCGTTTCTTTTACTTGAGTTCTCAAAAACCATTCTCAAGCCTCTTTATTTTAGTGATAAGCATATGTCAATTAAATGACAGTAAGGAGAAAAAATCAATTCATCTGAGATATATACATAATATATCAGCTGACTCAAACCTAGCCACGGAAAGGAAGTGGAATGTAATATTGTAAAATATAGCTTTATTAGTTTCAGAGAACTTTGTTACTTGCTGGAATAACAGAAAAGGAAATAAAAGACATAAGGCTCTTGGATTAAATTGCATCTCATCTATAAATCTTTTAGATTATGGTTTCTATGGAAGGCAAATGCACTTCTACATAAAATCCTGGATCCCAAGTTGGTCATCATGTTCAAAAATGATAAATTTTAGACACTGGGATAGAAGGAGAAAAAAGCAAGTAGAACAATGAGAGGAATGGGAATCTACAAAATTATTAAGTTGAAATTGATCTAGGAAATCAGCTTCAGCTGACTTGAATTTGATTTCTATTACTTCCATTGTCATGAGATGTAATTTTTCTGAGTTTTGGATCAATGAAGATTCTAAAAGGAGTGAAGTTGTGAGTAAATCTATATCAGCCTTTCCTATCATGGAATTTCTCCAGATTATTAGGGAATAGGAATTCTGTTGGTTGCAGTCTCAATACATCTGAAAGACAACAAGTCAGGGAAAGCTGATGTACAGGGCAAGCTCATTTGGATATTGCTATCTAAAAGTACTCTTTTGTGGCTTGTATGACATTTTATTCAGGCAGGTTTGCCAGAGTTTATGACAAGAACAGGCTACCAATGAACTTTTTCAGATTGGAATGTTTTGATGAGGAACCCTTTTATGGAATCAACATTAGCCAGTGCTAGTGCCTTTAGAATTTTTATACCACTGAATTTATCCATAAATACAGTTAATCTTACCTTTTATTTTAAATACCAGCTAGTGTTTCAGAGTCAGCTGAGCTGTCCAATGACAATTTGTGAATGGGTTTTGTTTTTTTTTTTTCAAATATATGTACCCTTTTCTGATACAGTATTTGGCTGCTGAAAATTGTACTTTTTTCTCAGCTCTTACTCAATGCATTTAGCAAAAGTTTTTAAAGTACTGCTAAGCTTTTTGCTCTATTTCCAGGTTGTTCCTTAATTTTTTTTATCCCACACGTACAATATTATATGTCTTTTTACTCCTGAAACATAGGAGTACCATATGCTTTCCTTCCCTGCAGTGCACATAGAACCTGGCACGTGTGAAGTCATTGCTGCCCACAGATGCTGCAATAAGAATAAGATTGAAGAGCGCTCCCAAACAGTGAAATGTTCCTGCTTTCCAGGTCAGGTGGCTGGGACAACACGTGCTGCTCCTTCATGTGTAGATGGTAAGTATACAGGTGTCTGCAGCGTGAATGTTTGGTCATGGATGTAGCTAGATCAAGAGATGGATTCATAACTCTAGAGCCTTTAAGTCTGGAAAGCTGTGCTTGCTAAGAGATTTATATCAAATCTGGTCCTGTAGTTTAAGCAACGTCAGCTATATATTTACTGCAGTAAGTAACAGGGCTGTGCAGTGCTTTTGATTTGAAGGCAGAAGTATGCTTTAGAGCATTGGTTCTCAACGGGGGTGGTACCACCCCCAGGGGGCGGTGGGAGGATGCTGAGGGGTGGTGAACTTGTTTTGGGTGGTAGGGGGGCGGTGGGCATATTTTGGGTGGTAGAGGAGCGATGAGCACGTTTTGGCATTCGAACTTAATTTTAAAACTCCCCAAAAAATTTATTAAATCGATTAACCGGTTTACACCATTTGTACCAGCAATAAAACGAACTTACGCGACAGCTGCCCTCACGCACTTCTAAGAATGGTGAGACGAATTTGTATTTTAGGTCCCCAAAAAATTTATTAAATCGATTAACCGGTTTACACCATTTGTACCAGCAATAAAACGAACTTACGCGACAGCTGCCCTCACGCACTTCTAAGAATGGTGAGACGAATTTGTATTTTAGGTAGGATGACCTTGAAGAACTCGACACTACGATTCTTCTCTGATCCCAACCAGCACAACGCATGGGTCAGCTGTTTTCCCGCGCGATTAATCGCAGCGCGTGCGTCAGCTGTCTTCCCGCGCAATTAATCGCAGTGCATGGGTTGAGCGTCCTTTCAATATGAATGTTTGATTTGACCCATGTTTCTTGAGTTGCTTTTTGTTCGCCTCATTTTTCTTGCATTAGTCATTTTAATTTTAATAAAAGGAATGCAATTACCTTCCAGGGCAAAAGTATCGAGTCATTTTAATTTTAATAAAAGGAATGCAATTACCTTCCAGGGCAAAAGTATCGAGTCATTTTAATTTTAATAAAAGGAATGCAATTACCTTCCAGGGCAAAAGTATCGAGTTAAATCGAACAAATTTGGTGTGTAAGTCTACTGAAAAAAATTACTTAAAATTTTTGCCTCTTATAATTCAGTAACTCCCCCCCCCCCAAAGCGTGGTGTTGAAAAAATTTTCGCTCCTTAGGGGGGCGGCAGCTTCAAAAAGGTTGAGAATCACTGCTTTAGAGCATGTGGGAGCAGGCATGGACTTCAACTCTACAACTCTTTAAACCAAATGCAGCTACACAATCCCAAGAAATGACTTGGCTTATTTAAA